GAGAAGTCTCTGCTCTGGGTCTGCCCTTTGGACTGATGGAGACCTTGTCAGGTCTGCTTATAACTTCTACTGAGCCTGGCTCCCCTTTTCTCTCAGGTATTACTCCCTGGTCAGTCTTTTGCATTCCTTACTTGCTGTCAGTGTCTGCTTCCCAGAGAACCTAAGTTCACAGTTGGTAATCGTTAATGAAAAAATACTGGGTTCTTTGAAATGAAGGAAAGCAATTTTATCCATATTCGTTGTGTATTTTTCGTAATAATCCTACTTAAAAATGACCGTATCTGAGGACTTAAGATAGTTATGACATTTTCCTAAGAACTATAGGGAAATATAACTTAACGTTTAAGAGATTGATATATTTGAGAAAATTTCTGATTTGAAGAATAAGTGCCACAAGTTACGTATCAAGAAAATAATAGTTTGTATGTGAAAGAGTTCATAGGGATGAAGTATCTTGTTATTTTACTCTAATTTTTAATAGGTCATCCCAAACCAATACAATATTCATTGGCTTAAAACTTGTTTATAAGGCTAGTTATGATTTTACCCATGCCTTCTTCTCTAGCTTCATCTAATCCATCCCTTGCCACAGCTTTCTCAACAACCCAAATTTTGTCATCATAATAAATTATTTGCAATTTCTGTTAACTTGTGTTTTTACATGTGTTTCTCCCTTTGCCTACATTGCCGCCTTTTTCTTCCTGTGTCTCTCTCCCTATCTTTTAACCATTATTTAGCAAATCACACCCTTTTACAAACCATTTCCCCAGTCTAATTTTTTTTTTCTGTTATATCTTGAGCAAATCTTTATTGTAGCACTTATACTATTTATTACATGTTTTCTCTACTCTAAGCATGTTATGGATAGCAATTGTGCACTTTAAAATTAACCTTGTATCTCAGGACCAGCAGTTAGCATAACGGCTGTGTTGCTGGGCTCCCATGTAGTCGACTGCGGTTCAAGTCCTGGACCCGGTGACTTGAATTCACGCCGGGCGCGTGTGCGTGCGTGCCCAAGATCCCGAGAGGAGAATGGAGGAGAAGGGATTGCGGCTTGGCCATCCCCCCTTGGGGGTGATTTCTCGCTTTCTGTCTCTCTGTCTCTCTATGTCTGGCGAGCGCACGTGCCCTATATCAAAAACTTCCAAAAAAAATTTTTTTTTTAACCTTGTATCTCTAAAGCCAATAGAGTCTCTGATACAGGCATGCAATAAATGTAATTTGAGTAGAATATCGGAATGGTTGGTGAACACGATGGTCTGGAAATGTTTTATAGAAGAAATAGTTGAGCCAATCCTTGAATTATGGGTAGGTTTTGGCCATGTGAAAATGAAAGAAGAATGGGACAATGTTATTTTTAGGATTGAGAGAGATGCTCAATTCATAGTTTAAGGGTACTTAAAAAGTCTGTGCAAAATGAAATTAAAGTATGAGTTTATCTTGTTGAAAATTTTTTTTGAAATTTATACATTTTTTTAAAAAAATATTTTTATTCATCATAGCACATGCATGCACATGACAGAGAGCATCCCTCCCCCCCTCCAACCGGGCTTGATGATAGATCCCCCAGTGGGGCCTGGTGATGCTGCAATTCTTCTTCCTCCAGTTCCCTGTCCTGTCAGGATCCTGGGCCTGCATGTGAGCACTGCATGAATCTATCTAGACTGGGACTCAAGATTCCAGTTGAATCATATGGGATCTCACTTCCTCTACACAATGTCTAACCTGCTGTGCCATAAAAGCCAGCTTCATAGTTTTTTCATACTACACTTTTCTGTGAACTTTTGGAATATTCTTTGTAGACCTGATTTAGAGTAATCTGATGAATCTTGTGATTTTAGGACCATCAGTCTGATGTTTTTCATAGATTGAAATGACTTACTTAAGTCACAGTGCCTTAACTTTAAGACCATGGAGACTTGAACTTAATTTTATAAGTTTAACTACTTGAGTCAAGAATAGAACTGTTACAGAAGAATAATTAGTGGGATTTTGTAACTGATTGGCTTTTAGAACAGGGAGGTTTAAAATGAACAGGCTTTTGTGTTTGTTTGTTTTTAGAGCTTTTTGCCTTAGGGTTGTGTGCTGGCCAGAGGGAGAGAGAGAGGGAAAGACATAGTGAGAAGGAAAGTGAGAAATCGCCTCCTGGGGGGATGGCCACACTGCAGTCCCTTCTCCTCCATTCTCTTGGAATTTTGGGCATGCACACGTGCCCAGTGTGAATTTCAAGCTACCGGGTCTGGGGCTTGAACTGCAGTGGGCCATGTGGTAGTCCAGTGATAGAATCACTACATCATCTGCTAGTCCTGAACATGAGCAGTTTTGAAATTTGTCAATGAATAAATTATGTTACCATTTATGAAATAGGCACAGCTAAGTGAGAGAAACAGATGTTAGGGGCTGGGAGCATAAGCTGGTGAGTATTAGGTTTATTGAGTTTGAGGCTATCAAGGTGAAAATACCAAAGTCAGAAATTGAGGGTTCAAGCCTATGTCAAAACTGGAACAGGTTGCGAGAAACAGCAGTTAGCGTAATGGCTATGTCGCTAGACTCCCACGTAGTCAACTGCGGTTCGCGTCCCAGACCGGGTGGCTTAAAACTCACGCCGGGTGCGTGTGCGTGCATGCCCAAGATCTCGAGAGGAGAATGGAGGAGAAGGGATTGCGGCGTGACCATCTCCCCTGGGGGGGTGATTTCTCACTCTCTGTCTCTATTTCTCTCTCTGTCTGGAGAGTGCACGTGCCCTATAGCGAAAATCTCTCCAAAAAAAAAAAAAAAGCTGGAACAGGTTGGGATCAGCTGAGAAACATTTTTTAATGAGAGGCAAAATGTAACTGAAGTCCTAGGGGTGAGTATTTTATTGGGTCGTCGGGAAAGTCATGATGACTGTAAAGAAAAACAGAAAAATATAACTTTTCCGATGACCTAATATTAAGGCTGAAATGAGAAGAAATAGAGATGGAGAAGAGTTCAGAGGAAACTATGAGCAGAACCTTGAGTAAGATTATTTATATCAAGGGAAGATAGGAATATAAAGTTGTTTCAAGTTTATTTCTTTTTTGGGAGAGACTGACAGACAGGGATCCCTGAGAGTTTTGTTTCTCTGTGAGCTTTTCCCAGTCATCTAGTTATGGGTGCACACAGTGTGTTCAGATAGAACTGAGCTAGAGACCTTCCTATATTTATGGCCCTATAGCAGACAGTGACCCCACCCCACCCCCCCGCCACCTGTGCCACCGTAGCTGGATGATCGGAATGTTTTTATGAAAACATTTACCCAGCAGCTTTCTTCCATGGTAAGAATGAAGAACTACAGAAAATGATTTGTCTGTTTTTTCGTTTTTCCTAAATGTGTGACATAGCTAGTATCATTAAAATATACAGCCTAGAAGTTAATTCATTACTTGAATAGGTACCTTAAGGCATTAGGACAGTTTTTCCCAATTGTTTGGGAAAGGCTGTGCTAAAGAATCAAATTCTACAGTCATCAAAGAGAGTGATCATAAAGAAGAGCAGTGACTGTGTAGATGAGTTATTCTTTGGTGACATAAGAATTTCAATGGAATGTAGTAGCAAAAACCAAGTTAACGAAATGTGATACAATGAAGAGCTTCAAGAAAATTGGACAAGAAGTCCCCCACAATGGGAGAATTGCTACATAATTGGCTAATTTCTCTTGAGGAATATTGTTGCTGAAATTATGATTCAAACAATATTGCTACTTGAAAAAAATTAAGCCTCAAAATTTAGGTATATTGGGAACCAGCAGTTAGCGTAATGACTATGTCGCTGGACTCCCACATAGTCGACCGCGGTTCGAGTCCCGGACCCGGTGGCTTAAAACTCACGCCGGGTGCGTGTGCGTGCGTGCCCAAGATCCCAAGAGGAGAATGGAGGAGAAGGGATTGTGGCATGACCATCCCCCCTGGGGGGTGATTTCTGTCTCTATGTCTCTCTCTGTCTGTCTGGCGAGCACACGTGCCCTATAGCAGAAAAAAAACCTCCAAAAAAATTTAGGTATACTATAATTATATCTATTAATATATAGAAACTAGAAATAGAAATAAAGGGAAGGAAGTGGAAGAATATAGTAATGACTTTTATTACAGTTGTGGATAATTTTTTTCTGTTTTCTCAATTTTCAGTAAAACTACTTTAACAAAAAATAATAGACCTCCACTGCTGACCCTGAT